GGCCCCCGGCGTCTCCTGAACCGGCGACAAAATGTCCGCTGAGGGCGGCCGGGCCCGGGCGGGCCGCTGGCCCGGTGCTCAGAGGGGAAAACGGGATCGCTGCAGTGATTTCTCACCGCCCCACGCGGTGTCAGCCTTTGGCTTAAAAGCCAGACGTGAACTTAACGCTGCCTAGTGGACAAAAGACCGTTAGATCGATGAGCGCTGCAAAGCCACTTGCTGTCCATGTTACGATATCACAACTCAAGACTGTGCTTAGTTCTATAACAGTTTGATTTTTCTGGTAAATAGTAACAAGGTGATGAGATGAGGCGTTTGATTTCATGATTAGAATAGTTGAATTCACGTGAGTTCCATTTTACTTCAACCAATATTCAACAGTAGAGCAAGGAAAAAATTCAGGGACATACCTCTGCCCAGCAGCCCACTGATTTATCACTATATGGTTTAAACGGCTTGAATTTTGTTTGTTGTCTTATGCAGCAAAGAGTCCTGCTGATAGTACTCCAAGAAGACCTGTCTTATCTGTCAGTGCAAGAAAGATTAAAGATAATGCAGCAGACTGGCATAATCTAATGATGAAATGGGAGAGACTGAATGATAATGGATTTACTACAGCAAACAAAATTGTCAACATGAAAATCAGTGAGCAGTAAGTATGCCAATGATACGTACAGGTAAAGGTAGTGTAGAGGTTGCCTTTATTGTGAAATTAATGTTTCCTTCACTAGAAAGCTTGGAGATGGAGAAAGAACATGTCAACGCAGATAAGCTAGCTCTTAGGTCAAACTGAGCAGTTGCACTTTTCAGTTACATACAATATTTACATTCAGATAAGATTTAAATGTCTCATAAAGATTAAAATAATCTCATGAAGTAATGGTGTTTGCAAGAAACAAAAAATGTTTAATATATGTACAGTTAGGTATAATGGATATGTAAAATACTTAAATAACATACAAAGTTAGAATCTAATCCTATGATCTTTACACATGTGATTTCCCTCTCTCCTGTGTATTTACTCTGAAGTCAGTATTACCAGTTTTTACAAAGGTCAAGAGTTCAGCAGATTTCAAGTAAGAATCAATGATTTTGTATAGACAAAAAGTTGTTAGAGCAGTGAAGATTTAACAAAAGCAATAATTTTGGTAGAGATAGTATCTTCAAGATCTAAAGGAAAACCTAACTGACAGGGTTCTGACGGACATCTGTAATATTTTGTTGTAAAGACGTCAGATCTTGCTTTCCCTTCCTGCTCACGTCCTCTGTCAAAGTTTACAGCTTCTATGGGAAAGTCAGCAAGATGGGCTACGAGACATGCCTGCGCATTACCTGCGCTCAGTTCGCGGTTAAGTATCTTAGCTTAAACTATCAACAAAGGGGAGTTTGTGGCGAGGCAGCAGACTGTCGGCTGGACCAGCTGAGGCCAGGGCATACATTACACCCTGTTATTATGAGAGAGTAGCCGCCAGAAGAGAGGCAAGGTAGAGTATCGCAGGCAGTGTTATCTTAACAGCTGCAACTGTTTCCTTTGAGCGTGAGTTCTGAGGTAGAGTAATTCAGCGTTCCTCTGAAGGTTATGGTACCAGCTCAATTGCTCACTCAATTGCTAGATAGGTCGCTTACCTCCTTTCATGTAGGAATTCTCATGTGCAGCTTGTAAGAAAGAGATTTTGTTGGTTCAGACAACATGGATTTTAAACCTCTGTGGCTTGAGTAAACGTATATGCAGTGGTTGGAACTGCCTTATGCTTCTATTTTAGGTTTCAAGATAATAAATCAGAGATAGCATGTGATAACAGCACCACAGAGTCTGAAAAGGCGTCTCCAAAATACAATGAAGAGCTGGATAGCTGCTGTGCAGAATTGCTTGAGACCTTAAAGCATATGGTAATACTCATTTTGCAATTGCGATCTATTTTTTCCAAGTATGACTTAAGCAAATGACCTCAAGTATTGTAAACAGAAAATTGGGATTCTTAACCATAGTTTTTTTGGCTTCCGACCTGAATGATTGTAAGTCTAGTGTGCTCCGTGTATTTGTTTGGTAAATTTGAAAGTTGGTTTTACATCTGTCTTCTGATTAGAATTTATTCCTCCTTTTATAATGTACTCTCTAATATGATCTTCTGAAATAGAGTCCTGCAAAAATCCGTTCTAAAATTGCACCTGTTGTCTGTTTTCTCATCCTGGATATTCCCTCTATTTAAAACAAGACAAACAAGTTAAAGCCCAGAACGATGTTTTATCTGCTGTAATATCTATTGCAGCTATCTTTGATCAGACATCATGCAGTTCCATTTTTAGTCTGCCTAGTTGCATTTTCTGTGCGGTAGCTTCCCCTTCTTTTAAGGCACAGAGTAAGACAGTTATTATGCAGCCCATCTTCCTTCTGGATACATTGTTAGGAATTAATGTCACCTGCCGGATTGATATAAACAAAGAAATTTTTTTGCTGGTTATTGTAATTAAAAATTTTAGTTAAAAATAACTTTTGCAGCCATTAGCCATAGTGGAGGCTTGTTAAAAAGATTATTGGTGTAAAGTTCCAGTGAGCATTTTTACAGACTCATAGAATGGTTGAGGTTGGAACCTCTGAACATCATCTAGTCCAACCCCCCTGCTCAAGCAGGGTTACCTGGAGCACATTACCCAGGAACGTGTCCAGCTGGCTTCTGAATATCTCCAGGGAAGGAGATCCCACAATCCCTCTGGGCAACCTGTTCCAGGGCTCAGTCGCCCTCACAGGAAAGAAGTTTTTCTTCATGTTCGGATGGAACTTTCTGTTTTTCTTTTTGTGCCCTTTGCCTCTCGTCCTGTCACTGGGCACCAGTGAGAAGAGTCTGGCCCCATCCTCTTGACACCTTCCCTTCAGATACTTGTACACGTTGATCAGATCCCCCCTGAGCCTTCTCTTCTCCAGGCTGAACAGGCCCAGCTCCCTCAGCCTTTCCTCATAGCAGAGATGCTCCAGTCCCCTCATCCTCTTTGTAGCCCTCCGCTGGACTCTCTCTCCAGGAGTGCCATGTCTCTCTTGGACTGGGGAGCCCAGAACTGGACACAGTACTCCAGGTGAGGCCTCACCAGGGCTAAGAGGAGGAGGATCACCTTCCTCGACTTGCTGGCAACACTCTGCCTAATGCACCCCAGGAGACCATTGGCCTTCTTGGCCACAAGGGCACACTGCTGCCTCATGCTTCACTTGCTGTCCACCAGCACTCCCAGGTCCTTCTCTGCAGAGCTGCCTTCCAGCAGGTCAACCCCCAGCCTGTCCTGGTGCATGGGATTATTCCTCCCCAGGGGCAGGACCCTGCACTTGCCTTGGTTGAACTTCATGAGGTTCCTCTCTGCCCAGCTCCCCAGCCTGTCCAGGTCCCTCTGAATGGCAGCACAGCCTTCTGGTGTGCCAGCCACTCCTCCCAGTTCAGTATCATCAGCAAACTTGCTGAGGGTGCGCTCTGTCCCTTCCTCCAGGTCATTGATGAATATGTTGAACACGACTGGACCCGGTATTGACCCCTGGGGACACCGCTAGCTACAGGCCTCCAACTAGACTCTGCGCCACTGACCACAACCCTCGGAGCTCGGCCATCCAGCCAGTTTTTATACAGAAAAGATACTAGTTCGATATTTAGAATAAGCAGAAAAGTGGCTATATTTTCCTCAAGTTTTATTCTGTGGGAAAAGGTACCAGCAATTTGAGGGTTTTCTTTTTTCTCTTGAGACATTGTTATATTCAGCCTTGCAAGTGTATTGATACAATTTTTTCTTACTTTTGGGTAATAGGAGTATAAGCAGCTGGTGTTAGCTTGGATATTAAACACAGCAACTACAGATGTATTTTCTTTTTCATTTCTTATGAGCATATACCAGTTTAATGATTTATACAAACATCTGTATTTTAGCTTTTTGACATAAAGATACGATCTTCAAGCTCCATTTTATTTTTCCAAATATTAGGCCCCTTAGGTGAAACACAAAGTCAGGTGAAGAGAAAGGAAGTGGACAGGATGACCTCCTTTTCATAGCAAGCCGCTAAATCAGCCTAGATATATTGTCAGTCATAGCCTGAGCGGCTTTCCACACCTGCAGCTGATCTTTTGAAATGAAACTTAAGTCATATTGGCATGGCAACATTAAGAAGCATGTGCTTACAGAGCTTGTGCCACACCTGTTCTTTCATAGACAGTTTGATGTTTTTCCCCAGTACTAAATTGCTATGGGAAAAACGCAGAGAGGGAAAAAATGAGAGAGAACTTTAATGTATTTCTACATGGGGAAAGCAAAAGAAATATGCAAAATCAGAGTCAGTAAGTCATACCTGTGCCGTTTGGAAATTTAGGGTGTCTGCTATTAAATCTGTATATAAATTCCAGCAGTGATCCCTGCCTGAAGTTATAAAAGTGAATTAGAAATGTTATGTCTCAACAGGGTCTTCAGAAAGAACGCGTTTTAAAAAAATTATTTAAGATTATAGTAGCCTAATGTTCCTGAGATGTTCACTAACATTACATGTTCATCATTGTCAGACAAAAATACAACTCAAAATGGAAAAGCTCTCTTCGACTACTAAAGCAATTTGTGACTTGGAAGCATTCCACCATGGAGCTGGGAATTGCACAGCCCCTCTGTTTCACACATGGCCCACAGCATACTTCTGTAAGTAAAATATTGATCATCTTAGATAAATGCATTGTGTCGCTCATGTAATCTAATTTAGGAAAACTGAAAAATAAACCCTTTTATTTGGATATCTGTGTGTATGTATGTGTGTGTATCTGTGTGTGAGGAAGAGAATGAATGAATCTATATCCTCTATACTTGACTAATTGATAAACAGAGGAGTGTGTCATTTGGTTTAGGGTTACTGCTGCTTTTATGAATTGCTGGGCATTGTCTGACATGCAGCAATTACCGCTGTAGTTATAAAGCCTGATCCAGTTAAAACTAAGCTTGTCAGCAGCTTAGTGTCCAATAGGCACCAGCAGTGTCCTTTGTAAAGAGAAACGTGCTTGCAACTTGGTAGTATTGAGCTATAGTCTACAAACTACCTTGTTACTTGACACTGAAATGATATCCTTGGATGCAAAGAGCAAGCTATACCTCAGTTAATTGTCAAGCAGTCAAAGAAAAATACCTCTGATTGCAATGTCAGTGAAGGCAAGAAAAGAAGCGTTCAGTTACTGTCTACAGTTAAGGCAAATCCTTTTAGGATTCACTTGATGGCAAGAAATAGGCCCTTTTGTTCTTCTAGAAATTTAGTAATGACAAAGGGTTGCCAGACTTCCAGTCTGTCTGCCTCCCAGTCTCTATTACTGCAGTTTTAAAACTGTTTGAATGCAAGAGAAGCCTGACTGCATGCAGGCCAATTGGAGCTTTGGTGAAGTGGAACTCGTTCTTTTGTGCAGCCCTGCTCCTTACTTCACTAGCACAAGTTAGCAGGAATCGTATGTATTAGTTTCTGCCAGCTTAAAAGGGTGACCATAGCAAAGACAACAGCTATCAAAACACCCATTGTGACTGAATCATTTAGTGATGCTCTGTACTCCTTGAATGTGTACTCCTTGAATGACTGATTCCTCCTGAAAATAGTAATGGTTCTGTCTAGGTTAGAAACACAGGATCAGTCTCTTATTAAAAATAATCTGTTTGTTATTTTTCTGAAAGCCAGACAATTAAATAGATGATTATATAAATATATTTTAAAACTCCCTCCAGTATTACTCATAAAACTGGTAACCATTGCTCTTTGTATTGGGCACTTCAGTTTTGATCTGTTGTTTTGTTTTGTTTTACCATTATTCTTCACTCTATTGGTATCATTTATTGGTGATCACGCGTTACTAAAGTACATGACAGCATGTGAGGAAAATTAGCTAAAATGATTATTGTCTCTAAAATATGAAGTTTATTTTTCAAGATAGCATTACAAAATTTTAAGACCAAGTTTCAGTTATTTAAAAGAATAGCTGTAATACCTGCTAATTTTACAGCCGATTCTGACACCCAATACCACTACTTGTTTTTAGAGTTAAAAGGAGGTGTATGTCAAAACCAGAAATATTTAAAACATATCCAAAAGACGAGGAAAATGTTTAGCATTTTATATTTCAGTCTGCAGACATTCTTAATAATGTAAAAAAACTAGATGTCTGACTTTTAAAAAATATGGGGAAGAGTTTGTATATCAAGTAGGGTTTTTCATGGCTAACATAGTACAAATATAATTCAACTTTTGGGGAACTGCTGATCTGTTACGATTAACGTGCTTGGTTTTTCAATCCATTTTAGATGAGGTCTCTGTGAAGCTCTCTGAAATGTACAAGGAGGAGCTACTACTCAAGCAAACAATTGTACAAGATATTGCTCATTCTGCTGACCAGGATCTGTTGATGGTCTATTTATCATCATGGTTATACCAGCCTTACATTGAGAACAGCAGCAAACTACTATTAGAAGCCATGCTGTTGGAAACAGGACATAGACAGTGCTAGAGCTACGAAAGCTGCTGGCTTGTTTCTGAAGATACTTGCATGAAATTGAAATGGTGAGTTTGCAAGGCTTACCATGTATGTTAAATTTTTGTAAAACTTATTAAAAATATTTTTCTCTATTTGTATTTATTGTTTTGTCTCAGCTGTTATTCTTTTTTCTGCATGGGACAATCTGATTTAGTTTGCTTTTATCCATCTAAAGCTTAACTGTGGTGCAGCACTGACAAGAAAAGTTCTGGGTCCAACAGGTTGACTCTGCAGCTTCATGATTAGGGCATTCAGTTGAGATGAAGACATAGATTTTTAAGGAAAACATGACCAAATGCTGGATAGTATATCCATCTTAATGAGGGCAGAATAGCACAGCTAACAGCTCAAACCTAAACGTGTGCTTTTAAGTGGATGGGATATAATTTTTCCCACTTTTTAACAATAATTAATATTTCTAAGTATGTCACCAGCTCTACTTTGCATTCGTAGTTTGTATAGTTTGTTATCTAAGAGAGGTGTCAGTGTCATGCGATCTTGTAGGAATGTCATTTGATGCTGTTAGGATAGTTTGCTGTGTGGTCCTGAGAAGCTCCAACAGGCAGTAGCGTCATTTCTGCTTTGGCTTTGATTACACTGTGACACTTGAAGTGCGAACCAAGGCTGAACCAGTACGTTTGGCTGGCTTAGTAGAAGTCACTGTGCCGCAACCATTATATGAAAAGGTCTTTTCTCTTTTAATTCTTTATAACTTTTTTCTTTTAGAGATGTTTTGTGAAAGCTTCTATTGAATAAAAAAAAGCCCTGCTTCGGCCATATCCTTAGGCAGTATTGTTTGCTTGCTTCCTATCATTGAGCTTAGTAAGCCTTTCCGTGGAAAACTCTTGCTGATGTTAAACATGTTTTCCTTTAAAGGTGTGTCACCTCCATATTTTGGTTAGCAATGTACATAACAAGATTAATTGGCTCATATTCTTGCTTTCCTTTTTCATGCTGCTGCTCAGGTATGAGGCTCTGTCTTTCTTGGCGAGGAAAATAGAGAATGTGTTTAGGAGAAGCTGGATAAATGCAAAAACTTAATGTTGGAAGGCATTCAATGCCATTGTTTGCTTTCTCTGCTAAAGACGTAATAATCACTGTAGCATACCACTATGTCAGAGGTGGGTGGCATGGAGAAGCTGCTACAGTTACCAAGCCTTTAATAACTGTTAGCTGCTCTCGCAAATTAGCACTTTTCAGAGAAGCGTATTACAACTTGGAAACTACTCAGCGAAGCATTTCATCAGTTTAGTTAAATCCCTGATATGCAATGAATTTAGCCCTTCCTCTTACTTCATTATGATTAATAATCCAAATTCTTCCCATTTACTATTACTGACTGCTTATATGACCCACTCCTGTATAAACCGTTGCTTCCAGTCTCCCATTTTGCACGATTATGTAGCATTCCTAAGTGCTGGTGACTCGTTTCTGTGCCCTGACAGATGTTTACCCTTGATTCTTTCTGAAATAAGAAACGTTTCAACTAAAAAGACGTGCGTGAAAAGCACACCATTATGAAATGGCCACAGTGGCTGCGGTGTGACGTCAGACAAATCTAATTAATAGCCAGAGAGTCTGGAACAGACTTCTTATAGGAAAATTAGGGTCACTTAACTAGTTTGAAGCTGAAATTTGGGCAAGCGGATTATATGCGTTGCTTGCAATAAGAGAGCAAACAGGCATACCCTGGAAGAGTTTTCTCCATGTGTTCGTCTGGTCAACAAAGAGGTTGTTTCAGGCAGCTTAATAGTGTTCTATTCTTATCCCAAATTTCTAGTACCTAAGAAGAAATTCTCCTGTAACTCAAGGAGTAGAACAATCAGTTATGAATAGTTTTGTTATTAACAGCCACCTCAATTTATCTGAGTAGAGACAGACCTTGTCACTATGGAAACACTTGTGTACTTGAAAAGCATTTTGCAAGGAGAGAAGGTTGGTTCACTTACAGAATTCTTTTAAGATGAGAGCAGGTGCATTGTATTTCCCAGCATTGCAAATCAATAGGGGAGGTAGAGTTGAAGCAAATTTTCATTTTCTACACAGGTGGAAGTTGTGGATCATTTTTATTTCTTAGAGGAAATAAGCCCTTCAGGAAGGAGTCTTCATACTTGCCAACTTCCTTGCTCATTGACAGCTATGGGACAGAAAGATTACTGTAAAAATCATAATCACAGAGAAGAGGATGTTTTTCATACAGTAGTTCTTTGTATTTGGAGCCTTCAGATCTAGAGAGCTCAAGAGAAAAATAAGGCTAGTAGTCATTTAATGCTGTTCTTTTGCACCTGCTAAACTTCTCAGGGGGGAAAAAAAAAAAAAAAAGACTATGCCATTCTTGAACCAGAAGAGCATCAGCTGCAAGGAAGCGTCCACAAAAATGCTGTTATCCAAGCAACAAAAGCTATTTCACTAGCCCCTTGAAAGAATGAGAAAAATACAGGATAGCAGCAAGGTGGTAGCATTTCTATTTGCTTACAAAAATAGGTTTCATAGCCAAGAACACTTTTAAAAATGATTAAATAGTACAGGGCAATGTGGAGTTACTAGGAAGAGCAAAACTTAGAAGTGATACAAGATGCATCATCTGAAAGAAATTTCTGAGGGTCCAAAAAAAATACGAGTCTAATAGAAATGAAAAAGACCATCAGGGATGAAAGTTGGAGTTATGAGGGAAGAATTTGCTATGATATTAAGGCCATTCAAATCACTACATCAAAAAACTGACATTTGCACACTGCTGTCAGTTTCCAGCAGCAAGTTTTGAAATGGTTTAAGTGGCCAGCTGAACACAAGGCAAGCATGCTTGAATATATTTTCAACAGATCAGGAGGAACTACAGGCCTCCACAGAACAGCTGTTTTTGTCTAACTCAGTGGACGCTTAGCCTACTGTTATCTAAGCAAAGACGAGATAGGTTAGTTGTGCATTCTAGGAATAATGTGACAGCCTAAGTGTGGGTTCTATTTTGAAATTACACATTCTTCCAGGCAGATTTAAGTGCATCAAGCCTATAGGCCAATGAATAGTCAAGCTAGCTTTAACAAAGTGTAATAAAGAGTTTTAGAATCTCAGCAGAACAGAAAACACAGATTTTTAATACAGCTTTTATTTTACCCATACACAGCTTGCCAGTACACAGCACATCACTGCCAAAAAGCAGTAGTTTACTGCATTTTGGATGGCTAAAGAGAAAAGGGTAACAAAAGGGAATAGTGCAACAGTTTTAAGGATGACAGATTTCCATTTTCCCCTACCCCCCAACACCTAGAAGAACAAATAGAATCATGTTATTTCTAGAATTTTTGGTTGCAATGCTGCTAAATTTATATAAACATAAGTTATAAAAAAGTACAGGGCATAGAAACAGTTTACAAATAAGTTAGATTTCAATTATTTCAGTATTCACATTAGAAAAATATACATTTTATATAGTCAGTCTTTTCCAGAAGAAAGCATATAGTTTTCTAATTTATGGCTCCAATTCACTTTGTGAGAGCAGAACTTCTTCACTTTGGCTATCTGCTTCCATTGCCAGTAGTGCTTCCACAGTTTCCAAAGGTATCCCATCAGGTGTGCGAATATGCATTGTAGTACCATCAGAATCAGTTACAATAACAATGCCTTCTGCCTGAGACAAAACAGCAGTATCCGGATGAGATAAAATAAGCCCATCCGTAGTCTGAATAAAAATCTGTTCATGTCCCTGAGACAAAAAATCATGGCTCTCATCAGTGATCTCAAAAGCTACAGTTTCATCTACAGTAACGGTATCCTCCAGCTCATGTGATTCCCCTGTCCCACAAGAAAACTCATGCACGTTTTTGAAAGGGCTTTCATGGTTCGCATGAGCGGACAAGGAGGCTTCCTGGACAGGATTCTGGTACAACTCAGTCTGAGCACTGTGTGGATGATTTATTGGCACGACGTTTGTTGAAAAAACTTTCTCAAGTTGCTGCATCTCATCTGTGATGCCAGCATCGTGAAGCTGTTCCGAATGTTCTTTAATTGCAAAATTCTGGTTTTCCTCTTGCAGTTTCTGATATTTTCCATTGTGACCGTTTTCTTCGCCCATTGATAAGTCAGTGCTCTGACTGCCCATTGCATTCTCTGACATAGAGTTGCAAAGTTCGGGAGCTGACAGCCCACCTGCTGTATTCTCTCTCACAAAGTGTGCTTGAACTAATTCTGGTGAGACATCTGCTTCAACAGGCAATACAGCTTCACTGCTTAGCACAGATGTGTCATCTGCAGTATCTGGTCCCTGTATATTTACAGGCTGGGAATACTCCATGCTTATTTTCACAGTCTGAGAGAAAGTACCTGAATTTTCAGCATTGATTCTAACTTCTGAATCAACAAGTGAGTTATGTTCCTTCGCAGTAGACAGTATGCTTCCAGTTGAGCAGCACGTGATATCTCTATCTTCTGAAAGCAAGATTTCTCCATTTAATGGATTAAAACCTGAAAAAGTGAAAGAAATATCATTGAGTTGGGCGATCTAATATGCAAGTCCCAAAAAGTAATTTTTCTACAATAGTCTTGGGGGAAAATTTAAACTGCTTCTCTCTTTTCCTCCCCCAAATTAGTAAACTTGAAGCATCTTAAGAGAGTTTCACAGCAGTTCCCATAAGAAGAACAGTATAAAAATACTTCAGGTATTTTTAGACAATGAAATATGATTGAATATTTCCATACCAAAGGAATGGCACATTAGAAGCAGCATTTTTCTGGTAATTCTGAAGATAACCTGGGCTGAAACGGAATTCTTTCAATTTGGCATATAGCCAGAAACGTTAGACAACAAAGAACACGCCACACAAAGTTGTCCGCTGCTCATCCACGTTACCATTAGTTCACTGACAGGCACGTTCAAACTTTGTAAAATTTCTGTTGATAATCAAGCTCATCCAGCATTCAAACGTGATCAGGTAACTACCTATCTAATCAGCTGCACTAACAGCCCCAGGAGCACTTTTCATTCAGCCTGTGACAGAAGAGGTAAAACACTAGAAGTTTAAATTAGTGTGCTTTACCAATCGTTTGACAGGGAATAAGAGCTCTCACAGACCCAGCAGGTAATTAAACAATAACTTAAGCTGCGGCAGCATGAGCTGTCAGTTTAATTCTTGTACATTAAGAGGATCGAGTACTTTTTCCTATGAAAGGTATCACTGCACAACAAAGGAGGCATAACAACTCAGAAGGGCCATTTTAACTTTTTGTACTGTAGACTAGCAAAAGGCCTACTAGCAGGTGCAGATGAAATAAACGTTTAATAAAAAAATCATAGCCCAGACGAAAATCATAGTATAACAAGAAATAAGCATGGTCTTTCAGAGAAAGAAAAAATGAACTAAGCGGGGGGAGGAGAACTTGAGAGAAAGACGTGGAAAGGGCAAAAGCAAAGCAGTTTATAGCAACACCAAAAAAGATTTTACAAAGTAAGAGGATGGCAATGGTATGCATCTCACTAGAGATGGGTAACAGCTGGAATTTTTCACTGCCCTGATTGTAATGCCTCTGAATACTGCAACACTTTCAAATAAAAGAGCAGTGGAGTTTTGGGAGACTACAGCTGGACACCCATCTTTGCTCACTAATCCACTGTTACCTTGCCAATCTGAGATAGCGGGGGGAAATAAAGAAGAAGGGAGAGGGAAGAGAAGAGAAAGACATTCACCCAGCAAAGACTGTCATGCAAAATGGTGTCTCAATTCCTATATTCAGCTTCCGCATCTCCCGTGGGATAGAGTACTGCTTTCACCAGCTCTTGCCCTCCCCCAGGCTCTGTAAAGCCCTGATGATTCTGCCCTTGTAGTCTGCTGGGGCATAGAGGAAGGACATATAGCTTGCTTCCTCTTCCTCCACTCTCCCACTGCTTGACACAAAGCTTGTGCACTACCCTCTGTGATAAGGGATAGCATGGACAGGAAGCATTCAGGCAGCAGGACAGGACTATTATCCTAATACTGTAGTAGTAGCAACAACTGGAGTATCATGCGTTTAGAACTGTGCTGCTGCTGTGGTGTTAGTGCATCATCACTTTTTTCCCCCCCATGAAGTTTTTTGAGTTAAACAGCTGCTTTTGAAGGACCTGGGAAGCAAATTGAGAAATTAAACCTTAAGACAAAAACCACAGTAGCTTGAAGAACACAGGAATTTGTTCAGCTTCTCCATGAAGAGAAGAGAATCGGTAAATCTGAAGAGGTTACCATCTTTTTCAAAGAGTGTACACAAATTCCCGTTCTTTTCTTTCACTTCATCTTGACTGGCATAAGCATTATTCACATTCTCCATTACGTCTTCTAACTTGGTCCTTTTGGCTGATGGCAACAGTTCCTCCCCTGAGCTCTGTCAATACAAGAGATAATTAACTGGCTGCCACCCATAGCAGCTGACAGTATTGGAAAAGATCACAGGCTAACTGTGGGAACTTTACGGCAGTGAACCGATACCCTCCCTGAAAATAGAATTCTGCACTGAAAGTCTTCCTAAAAGGTAAGGATTTAACACAGCCCTCACACTTTTCCAAAATACCACTGATTACTTCTGATATCTGGTTGAAACAACCTGCTCTTGCTTCAAGATCAAAACGCCTCCCCAGCTGTTGTAATCAACTGCTGGACATGATATCTGCTATCTGCTAGCTGGAGAGCTTTCTCTCCAGCTTCAGTAAAGGGCTAACAGCTTGTCCAGCATCTTTTGGTTAACAAGGGAAAACTGATCAGCTCACACGTTTAACCGTGGGCAGAAAAGGGAAAATTGCTAATTTTATTTCTCCTCCACCAGGGACAACTCTGGGCTAAATAGAAATAGAACAGTTGAGGGGAAGGACTAAAGAGATGTGACTTTCAAGAAAAAGAAACAAACTGCTCCTTACTACAGCTGCAGACAGACCAAATCTGGTAAATTGGCTGATTAGAAAGAAAGGAGCTGTTTTCATGCACCTCTACCAAATTAGCAGAGCAACCACTTCTCCAGCACCTGAGCTTGCTGCAGGTTAGCCCATTTACTCCAACACAAATTATTAGAATCTAAAGATCATTTTTACTGGGAGGAGGGGGAATATACTCGGGCTAACACAAACTTCATTCTTAGTGTAACACAAACTTCATTCTCTATATCATGATATTACATGTGAACCCGAGCTCCTGTCCTGAATGCCACCGAGTGCCTTCTCAAAGTACATCTTTAGCCTGCTAATTCAGATGCTCTGCAGTGGAGAGCACTACTTGAAGTATTTACAAGCTCAGAACACCATGAAAGCTTACTTTCATCCAAGTTATACAGTACTAGTATGGCTTTGTAGGAATCATTAATTTATTTTTAACAAGCTTTAGTTTGTCTTGGTTTCATTTTTGAATTTTCACAAATGTATTCCATACCTCAGCTAACCGTTTTTGTCCCAGTATCTTCACAGGCACTCGCTCACTAAACATTTTAAATATACGTTGTGAACAAGAGTCTACACCTTGCATCTTTTGTTCCCCAGTGAGTACTTCTGTAAGTCCTAGAGATTCAGCGACCTTTAAAAAGTTATAGGGGAAAAAAAAAAAGTTAGCCTCTCCAATCTGAATACATAAATACTGAAATACTGATTCATTTTCTTAACAATGAATTAGAAGAGTAATTACACGGGGGTCCAGTCTGACAACCAATCATTACAGCTCAACAAAGTAGACTCCCATGTTTTCTACTAACTTTCATGTTAATAGAACATGACCTTCATTCGAAGGTGAGAATTAAAAGGCAAATTTGAAAGAATTAGGAGTATAATGGTTATATATATAGAATCCAGAGTCAGTTACTAAGAACAGAGTTTTATAAAGAATACCGTCCAGGCTCTCCATTATCTAAAAAACATCTAAGTCTTGCTGTCTAAAAGTATCTCTTAGTAGCTAAAGGTTATATTCTTTTCCAAATTTTATTCCTCTGTTTCATCCTTATGTAGCTATGTTGCTATATGGCTTCTCAAGGCTCTTATTTTTTAAGAGAGTAATTCTATATTAAGAAGGCACATTAACACTGGAGAGAAGAAACAAAGGTAAGTTCCATTTTAGGTCTACCAATACTGACAGCATCCCTTTAATTAGTGCAACTTCCATTCTCCAGAGGGAAGTATCAGTGCGGGTCAATTACAAAATAGTCAGATGAGCATGCAGTAATACTAGAAAGTTTTTAGTAAATCACTGAATGTCATGATTCCTTCTGAAAAATAAATATTAACCACTACTAACAGTCCATACAGGACTGTTATCTTAAACCAGGTTATTATCAGAACCAGAATCTTATCTCTGCCTTCATTACCCTAAGTTTTCCAGTATGTTCCCCTTACATAGCAGTCGCAGATATGTATGTATACTAGTTCATAGCAGTATGCAAATATTGCAAGTTCAGTGCATACATGCCTTAATGAGCATGCCATTTTAAGATTTTGTTGGAGGTAATATGCAAAACTGTTATTCACCACTGGAAACAGAGAAGGGAAAATGAAGAGGAGGTTACACCAAACAAAAGATAAACAAATGCATATCAAAAAACAACCCACAGTTTCTTTCTAGCCACAATTATATAAACAGTAAATCTGGAAAGGGGTTGTGAAACAATAGTTGGCGTTTTTCATTAATGCATTCACTGCATTTCATATTTGATAGTACGACTATGAACTGCACAGAAGCATTCCACTTGTCCTCATTTTGCAGTAATAGTACTTACCCCCTTTAAATCAAGGCCATTTGTTTTAAATATAGCCACTTTCTTCCTAATCAAATATTAAGGCGTACTTCTATTAAGAGTTAACGCTACGCACACTTTGCAGTAAAGCGCAGCTTCATACTACCCTAGATATGCAGACAGATACCAGAAATGAGCACTGCTGGAACTGATTTTTGTTGTTGTTGTTGTTGTGTATTCTGCCATAAACCAGAAATGTAGTGTTATTACGGATTTCTTTTTCACTCTGTTTTTTTTTCTGTTGTACTGCTTACCACTATCTCCATTTTCTGCTTATCAAGAAAGATGTTTCGTTCAAATAATTGTACCTGCGTGACAAAGCTTATCAGAGAAAACTAAAATGTTGTACATTCTTAAACAGACCGCCCCCCCCAAATCACAGTTTCAAGTAGAATGCTTTATTACCTTCGGATCTTTTATTTCAACAGACTCTTGGCCGCTCAGCATATCAGAATTACTAAGGTAATCATAAGCCATTTTCTTTACCATATTATGCAACTCTTCAAATTCCCTATACACATCTGGGAAGTAAGCTCTGGCTGGACACCCTTTTTCAACCTAAAAATAAGCAAAAAAAAAATTTTCTCTCTCTGTATTTTAAGTAAGATTAATTTTAAATCTGTCAGTTTGTTTTCCTCAACGTTTTAAAATAATAACAGTCAAGTCAAAAGACTATGGAATCTTCAAAAATGCCGCTAGATGAGGCAGGAAAAAGACTTTCAGTCAACAGATTTATCAGCTTTTGGCCTATATGGAACAGAAGTGATATCCAAAACATCTTCATTCTGCACACATCTAACTTATGCAATTGAGATACCCCTTCTAAAGGCACCTTTTTATGTATATTACCAGCAGTCTCCCTAAAATAATTTAACATTTTTAACATTAAAAAAAAAAAAAATCTCACCTTCATCAACAGAAATTCATATACTGTTACAAGCTTTGTAAGACGTGGGAGAGCCAGCTCCATTAAGTCTTCATTATCACATTGTTGTATTAGCTGTCAAAAGCCATAATGAGTTTATTAAAGTAGCCTACAGAGGTTACGCATCCCACATTCATAACATAAAATGTCGCTACTTTCCAGTAAGATGCAAACATATCTTATAGAAATATCAGATACATGGTTTCCATCGGGGTGCTTTCTTTTTATATTTTAAATAGACAACGCAGCAGGCTATCAGTTCTATAAGGCAGTTGCTGCCAAAAATTCAACCTAGGAACAAATTTGCCTTTTGTTTGATACACATACTGTATGTTTAAGCAGCTTTGAGAATCAAGGCAAATGTAACACTAAAAGAGCAGATATATTAAAAAAAAAAAAAAAGCCTCAACAACAGTTTATAACCCACATTTACAGAAAGTGCTCAGTGCCATAAATTACTGCATACACATATAGAAAGAAGAGCAATAATAGTAAATTTAGTTGCCATAGAAGATCTTCTACGACACTGTGGAAACAAATGGGGGGGGGAAAAAATCACATTAGCTGCATGGATTTTAATCACCACACCCCCCCCGCGGCCGTGTCCTGCGGTGGTGGGGGGGGGGGGGGGGGGGGGGGAGGGGAGAGGTTGTTTGGTTAGTTGTTTTTTAGAAAAAAGACATTGCCCAACTGCAGTTGGATTTATTTCTACTGAGTTGGAACAGATACATAATAATACCTAGTCATTATTCTTCTCCAGAAGAACAATAGACAAGTGTACATCTAACTGTCAAAAGACCCTTCCTCGACCAAGATCATATTTTAATTTGGTCTAGTGTTCTGGCAGAAGTATTTTTTCCTTAAAATCTAGCTTAATACTTTCTTCTTAGAAAATATCTGAGGCTATCGTTTTGTCAGCAAACAAGAATGTCAGAAGCATTCTTTCTGAAAATGCATCCTTGAAAACAAGTTGTCCAAAAATAAATAAATAAATAAATATGTATACTTAGGAAGTAATTGTAGAAGAGAGCCATACCTCTTTTAACCTAGCTTTTCTTCTGAATACATTGTGCTCTGCTGACACACTACTAAGTGACTTTGAAGGGGACTGACCAGGCCTGCTAAGCCTTCCGGAACACCTGGATCTTCCACCCATCCTTGGTCGTCCTCGTCTCTTAGGTCGTCTGGGTCTTCCAGGTCCTTTTGGTGTTACAGGCGTCCGGTGTCCTGAACCGGCCTCGTTTTGCTGTTCTGCCAGCGAGCGTCTGCTTTCTGCAGACTTACAAGTCTTAATTAAAGGAAACAGGAAAAAAAAATGGTTATTTACTGTTTTAAATGGTCTTTTGAGGAATTTACTGTTTAAACGGTCAAAATTTTATAATGAATGATTTCATTTGGATAATTGGATACATGTGTAACTGTAAAGATTGGTGCGGAATAAATCCAATATATAGTAACACAGCTACTTCTGCAAGATATACATGCCATTATTGGCAAAGTTAGTCTTTTTGATCCACAAAAAGTCATAAGAAATACAGAGATTAAGGGAATATGATTGAAGACTTATGTTTGTTAAATATCTGTTTAATGTTTTCGCAGTAAAATATGTTCTTTCTGAACAAAGAGGTTGCAGAAATAAGTCTCAGCAATAAATCACACCCAAAGACAAGTTGGAGTTTCACAGTAACCACATCAAAGCATGAAGATTCTATATGAACTAAGAAAACTAAGTCATGAACAGTGACAAGCTCAGTAAATAAAAACCAAACGTTTTTCCCCAGTTTCCACCTGTTTCAAAATCCTCAGTCTTCCCCAAGAGCACAGCTAAGAAGTAGCTTCTGTACTAAGATCACAAGGCAAACTCAAAGTATATTTTCTATTTTTTAAATTGTTATTATGACCTCAGAGCAAACAATCAAGCTATATAATGAAAATCAAACTTTTATTGATTAAAGCGCTCATATTTTTACTGAATGCATCTTGTCTTCTCTACCAAGCTAGAATTTCTAAGCATGACCCAGTATATATATATATATTTTTTTTTTTTTTAAAGAGTTGACAGATTACAACAGTACTCAAGTAGTTCAAGCTTCTTTTCATTTTCAGTATACCTTTGTCCTACTGTTCACTAGCTGCCTGCCTACTATTCTAGTAAGCAGAAATACGGAGATTAAATGAATAACTTAGTTTTAAATATGAGATAAACCCATGTTGAACATGGGGGTCTTGGCTGCCTTCCTGTCTATATCCATCTACCAGTTTTAATAATCCTGTTATTCTTTCTAGAAAATATTTAGCTAGCCAAAAACTGTAACAAAGTCAATGAGCTAACAAAGTGCAAATGTGTAAAATCTCTATTTGCTAGTTGGAGATAACAGATAAAATAGAAAATCAGCAATCTAGCCATCAGCAGTAGTGCTGCATTTTCCTTTCTAGTAGTACAAGAGATTGTCTGAAGTTTTTTCTAAATCCCCATAACCCCACCAGAATAAGTTCTGCAGATGCGAGTTACAACAGAGAACAGACCGAGTATTCTGCACTTCTCTCTTTCCCCAAGGATGATAAAGAGAACGTAGAGGCTTAGGCCCGGGGGGAGGGGGAGAAGTTGTTTGCTATGTTCATGTCTTGAGCTGTAAATTTTCCTGTTTCTGAGAACAACTTCCTATTTACAAATAAAAATGTAATACCACGTTGCTACATCTCAAAGAGATTAATTTTCTCTAGAAGAGAACTGTAGCAGTTCTTTTCCTTGTTCCAAGCTGTTAAAGTCTTTTTACTATTAAAAGAAAAACTTTACTTTGAAGTGACCAGCTTAAAAGATCACAGAAAAAGAATTGTAGCTAAAGTAGCTCTGATGCAGAAAATCACGTTTCACCAAACAGTTTGGTTCACACAGGCAAGTTAAGCCTCATTTTCAAAACTTTACTCTGGGAAAAAGCTGCTGTCCACCGTTGGATTCCAAGTAAGTTTCAACACAGAAGAAGCCTTATTTCAGTGACAGAAACTGCAAATAACGTTTTAGTGTCTGTGGTGCAAAAAGGCTGTAACTGAAAGATGCAATATTCTTCTCTGAATGCAGAGAAGGTGACTATTTATGCAGACCAGTTTATTTCAATGTGACAGCTGTATGTCACAAACCCAGTAATGAATGAACACTCAACGAATGTTTTATGTGCCTGTGCAACAATGCTATTCTTGCAACATTGCATGAGATAGTATTTTGGACTTTAAAACACTTCAGTGGGAAATTTGTTCTATTTTGGTATGTTGGTGGATGTTACCGAGCAGTGCAAGACTTCAGAATTTTAATACAGACATATACCACGAAACGGATATGCATTTACGTCCCTACCTTCAGTCTTTTAGGTCCCTACCTTCGGTCTTTTCAGAAATACTTGTATTACTGTCAGCAGCAATTCAAATGAATGAGTACAGTATGCAGCAACAAAGCTGCCTTTCTAATTTCTATAAAGCTGTCAGTTTTTCTGAGTAACACACTTTACCTGTTCTCCAGCCTGTGAAGCAACAGTTTCTTCCAAATTGGCAGCTAGTGCATTTTCATTATTTAAAGTGACAGCAACAAAATCCGAGTGTGCTGGGCTTGTAGTTTTCTCTCCTATTCCACAAGCATTGTCCACAAATATACTTCCATTAGGCTTATTTAAAGGTATTTCTTGAAGTGAAGACTCCAGCTGTCCATGACCTGGATTAAGTTTATAATGTCTTGCTAATCCTCCTTTTCCTATATAGGATTTTTCACAAGTCTGACATTTAAACATTTTGGGTTTCAAATTATAATTTGAAGAATTGAACAACGCATCCTTTCCTTTCACCTTGCCTTCTTCATCATCTTCTATACTCAGTTCAGAGTAGTCATCAGAATCAGACTGATGACCATCAGCCAAATCCTCCATTTTAATGAATTTGTAATCTTTAGCTTTATATTTTGGAGGCCGTGAAATCCGTCCAGAACGAGTTTTCACTTTCAAAGATTTTTTTAACTTGTCATCTTTTTGGTTTTTTTCAAGGCATGATATCAGAGTATTTGTTGAACTGGCTGCAACCATGGTAATATTTGGAGACCTCGCAGCTGATACTGTGGTGCATGTAGTTCTCTGCCCATTTAACATCTTACATGTGGGGATCTTGTTCACAGACACTGATCTATGAGGTGGTAAAGGTCTCTGCATAAGCAGCTGAATTGGAGACTCAGAGGAACTATGTAGGAAGAGCTGCTGCTGCTGCTCAGTTCCTGTAACTGGCTGTATCCTAATTATCTGGGGATTAATAATGCCAAGTCCTGATATACTAGAATTTCTACCAACCGATTGACTCAGCGTTATAGTTTTGGACTGGACTGATGCCAATGATGGCATCGGCCTTTCAGCTTCCTTCATCTGTCCTGGCTGAACTTGGACACAAATGGCTTCCAGCTGCTTTTGTGGAAAAAAGGAAAAGAAGAGTTGAGATTAAAAAAATACTGTATTTATTATATAAAGACAATATTTATTGAGACCATACCTACATGCCCTTAAAGCAAAGCATGACAAAACCAACACACATCATTAGTTTTCCATTTTATTATCATCAAAGCACAAATTCCCTTCCTTCAAGCTATGGGGTTTCCTGAATATTTACAGATGCGATTGCTGTTCAACTAAAGCATTTACAGTTTGGTCTTAGGTCACGTTACAGCTATGCTCCCTGCAAACAGGCCTGTTCTGGAACAGCAGAGTCAATGGGATTACCTAGGCAGATTCATAACCTTCAACAAACTAAATACAAGAGAATTGCAGCCTGTTAAATGACGCAGGCCAAATACTAGATCAAGGACATCCTGTAACAAGCGCACAATTCAAAAAAAAAAAAAAAAACCTTTGAAATGTTGAACAGTAACCCATACCTTCTCATTATCATCTCCTTTATATTCTCTCATATATCCTGATGCAAATTGTTGCCTCAGCTCAAACTGATCACTTGACAAAAAACTTTGACTCAAAGCCCAAGGCACTATCACCTTTTATAAGAGTGGTATGTATTATCTACCTGGAGACCATCATTTAATCCCTATGAAACAGCTCTTCTAAGCTATCTTAGGCAATTAGCTTCCTGTTTAGCCCGACTGAAACACTGGTCGCAGCAGCCAGTATCCATATTAAGATGTGCCTATTCTGACTCATGTTTGGAGTCCCATCTTCCAACCGCGAGATTGGAGCTGACACCTAAAGGCAGGCTGGAACGGAGATTAAAAGCAAAACCAACAAACAAACAAAATTAAAAAAAAACCCACCCACTGAGATCTGCACCCGGCGGTGGGTTTCATCACCGAGAAAAGCCTCCGGCGGCCAGCCGGCACGCCGCCCCCCCCCCACCCCCGCGTTCCTCCTCTGGGCG